CTTGAGGATAAAGACACGTTTATCCAGATATTAGCAATAATACCTCCTTTCACAAACCCTTCCAGTCAAGATAAATGATGTGAGATAGAGATTTTAGAAATATATATATAGTCCACCCCCACTCAGAATGTCGCTTCATTAGGATTTAATACAAATATACTCCCACTTCAAGTCAATCTTAGTTTTATGGATATGGAATTGGATAAGGACGGAGAAATGGGTTGAGTATGGGTTTTTAAATCAGTCTTTTCTTAGTAACGTGATGTCTGTGTGGATGTATGTGCGTTTGAAGTTCTTAGTGTTTCTTGTTTTTGCGTGAGGGACATCCGACATGTAACTAAGGGTATGTTTATATGACACCATTTTTAACTATAAATGGACATATTAATGTGTTTTAGCCATTCGGTTACACAAGAACAGTTTTTATGGGGTCTGAAAATACAAAAATTGGAAAGCCACAATGTTCCGTGTAATTGACAATAATGGAAATGTGTGACGTCTTGCGCATATGTATTACATGCACTGATTCTTGACTACTGAAAAAAATTATAGCTCATAATACAATAAAATGCTTGAAGTGTTTATTTGCAATGTGATATTGCCACCTACTGGCCTGGAGTGCATAACACAGCCTTTTTGTGTATCCATGTCAACAAGGTTCATTTTAACAATACTGTATGTTTAAACAACATTTTTTTATTTTATTTACTGTTGTCATGTAAACATACCCTGAAACGGAGGTTTACACTGTAGTGTTTCTTTCCGCCAATGCTCAGGACCCATGATGCACACCTAAATTCACTCTGACAGAGTTAAATTACTCTCATAGAATTGCATCAAATTCTGGGTAAGTGAATGCAGGTGTAGATTTTGTGCATTAAAAGCATTATAATACAACCATGGATACACCAGAACTGTGTAGGTCCTGAGTCCAATCAAGTAATGTATGGATGTATGCATTGAATTGTGTATATAGTATATAAATAAATGTAGATGAACACATAAATATAAATATATATATAAATATAAAACTATATAAATATAGTTCAGACTATCCTGCCAGGCTATCAGCACATACAGCCTTCCATCAACCCACCCAGAGTAATTATGTCTAGCGGTTTAGTAATGGCTGGAAGTTATCTGTGGGTTATCAGTGTCATTTGTTTCTTTATAATATGTAGTGGTTTAGGGAATTTAAGCAAGATTTTAAGTGATCTGAACTTGGATCCTTTAGATAACTCCGCCCATTACTGTTGCTGGCTTCTCCCTCCTAATCCCTGGCCTCTCCTCTTTGGCAGGATGGTGTCTAAATTTGTTTTCATTCATCGATTGTTGTTGTATTTTTCGCTGTGAGTCGTAGAAATCTTTCACGTTTAAATTTCTTTTAATGCTTACACTGTGAACGAAGCCACGTTTAGGACCTTTCAGCTTGAGAAAAAGTCCCTTTTTCGGGGAGGGGTATGGACTAAATGCCATTCTTCTCTCAGGAGATTTGATGAAAAACTCGTCCTTTGAATGACAGGTGGCTTATAAAAGTGAACTATCCACACGAACTGATCATCAGCGGATTGTGTTACCATAATGTGAGGCAGATCATGATAAACAGGACTTTTTCATAGATATGTTGTTGTTAGATTTCACAATTTGTTGTTGAAATTAAAACCCAATGATTTTAGGAATACAAAAAAAAAAGATATATATAAAAATCTTCTGTTCACCCCACCCTGTCATGTCATCTGTTTTATTTATTTTCTTTTACTGTGAATTTGTGCCTTTTGTCATCTTATCTTCCAATAAAACTACATTGGAGATGTGAAGAAAAAAACTTTTAAAAAGTAGTGCTTTATTGGTTTACATATGTTACTTGGATGTTTTTTCAATGGATTTTGTGCATTTCTTTAAAAATTGTCAGTTGTTTTCTATTAGGGTTAGTTCACCCTAAAGAACTCTGCTCATCTTCGGGACATTTTCGGGATCTTTGGGATATTTTAGATGAATTCGAGAGCTACTGTCCTCCATAGGCAACAGTTCTAAGACATTCAAAGTCAAGAAAAGGAACCAGAAGTTTGTCAAAACATTCCATAGCATTAGCAGCACAACTGTAATCATACGAAGCTCCAAGAACATTTTTGTGCACAATATTTAATCTAAAATACCTTAATTTGCATTCTGAAGATGAACAAAGATCTCAGGGGACTGGAAACAACATGAGGGTGAATAATTAATAACAGAACTTTAATTTTTGTGTGAACTAACCCCCATTTAACAATTAAGCTGTTGCCTAATGTTGAGTCTGGCTTTCAAATAATTCTATACTCCATTATTTCTAGTCTTTATTCATTATGGATATAAATCTCATTACATCATGTAATTTCCAAAGTACACATGTCTTGGTATTATTAACTCTCAGGACAAAAACTGCCATATACTGAGTACTGACGTAAACAGGCATAAATCATGGGGGCGTCTGCAAACCCTCTCTTTCATTCAGCGAAATGTTCAGGCTAATCAGGATTTAAAATGTTGAAGCCAGATTAAACTAACCCCTGCTTATGAAGCTTGTGAGAAAAGGAAACAAGTTTGATTCAGATACTCTTGTTGTATTATACATGAAACATTTTATATTGTTTATTTAATGTTTTTAATAACAAACAAATGTAAGACATAAGTCTTATTCAAGATCTTCAAAGAAAGCAATGAACTGTGCGGATATTTGGCCTGTGAAATTTTCCCTTAATCTCTGGTTTGTTTAAAAAGTCCACTTCGTCAGCTTAAAGGCTGCCACGTTAGTTAAGAAGTCTTTATGGACGAGTCTTTACACTCAAGATGTGTATAAAAGTGTTAAACCCTTATTATTACTATCAAAAGCTAGTAATTAAAAAGTTTATAAAATTTTAAGTGTTGGAAATAATCCAAGTAATGTAACATTTTTTTTATTTGATTTTTTTGCACAGAACAATTGTCTTACTTCATAAGATGTCAGTATGTATATATATTTGCTTATATGACTCTGCATTAGAAGTAGCATTAATTTAATGAATACCCAAGGGCGTTTTAGCTATATATATATGATGTGCCGAGGGTGAGAAAATTAACAAAACTATTTTAGGTGAACCCTTTGACATATAGGCTAACAAATCATGAAAATACATATTTATATTAGCCTACTTAAAACTGTGAAGCATTGCGAGATTATGGCTATATACATTTCATTTTAAACCACAAACAAAGAACCTACTGTTTCACGTCCTATTCAAAAAGGATGCTGATGTGTAAAGACTTTTACACTATCGTCTTTCATAACTTGGCTAAACCTTTTAGGCGTTCATGATGAAACAAGTACTGCGGCTTTAAGAGGTCCCGGTGGCTTGGCAGGGCAGCGAGGAAGTAAAGGGGTGTAAACACAGACCCCAAACTCCCACACTGTATCCCGTAACACCTGTTAAATTCGGAATAGGTCATTCAAGACACCTGCAAAATCGCCGCTAGACGAGGCTGAAGGGTAAGTTTTTGTTTTCTTCTCTAGCTACTCAAGTTTAATATTGGTTTTGATGCTTATGATAGTTGTCGAAATATTTTAATCCATGTAAATGAAGTGTATTAGCTGTTTAAATAGCTATAAAAAGTGTTCATAGCTGCAAATGTTATGACACACGACAAAAGAAAAAAGAAAGGTTTCGATGTTTATTTATTTATTTACTATTTGTTTATTTTTATTTAGCCTATTTAAAAAAAACGTATACTACAGTTTCGATCTTGAACAGCTTGTATCATTAAGAGTGTTACAACGAAGTCATTAAACAACATTACATTAATCAGGAGTATTGCAATTAGTCACGATACATTACGAAATAAAGCCAGAACAGGTGAGCATGCGACAGTACGGAGCTTCAATTATAGAACGGTCGGTATAAATAGCATTATTTATCGCTTTATCACGGGTTTAAATATGTTTTAATAGTTTTTAAAGAGCTGTTGCATGAGCCCTAGCTATTTGATGTGACTGCTTTTTTATTTTATTTTATTTTACAATGTTTTACTTTAAGCGCTCACAAAATGTATTGTTTTATATAGACAGACAGTGTAAAAGCAGCTTCACATAGAAGATTATAGTGAATTGAAACGGTGTCAGTTCAGTTTACAGTGTTGAAGTTCAGTTTAGTTCAGTGTGGTTTAATATTCACAGAAGAGGTGTTGTATGAACTTCATTTGTAATGTGTGTGTGTGTTTTTCAAAAATAATTTTATAGGTGGGTTGAAACCAACACATCACATTAATGGTATAATAATCAGTTAACCTTCAGAGTTATATTTCATCATTTTAAAAGGTTTCCCAGCTTTTGAATAAGACAGGATTAACCCTTTTGGATTAGACCTCTTTGAATTAACTTGCATTTATGTGTACATGGTGTTTGTGTGCTCAGGATTGAGTATGAGCGCTAAAAAGGTTGGATCCACTGGTGGACATCAGGCTTTCAGGTAACACTGTCCTTTATCAATAAAATAAACTGCTTCATTTCAAAATAACTAAAACACCCAGAGAAAAAACAAACAGGAAATTACAGAAAAATGGAAAAAGAATAATAATGGTTAATGGGTTAAATTCAAAATGGTTAATGTATAATGTTTAATGTATATACGTAGATTTATCTGATTTAGATCAATTAAATTGTGAATTTCTTTCTCTTTCAAAAGTTTCACAATTTATTATTTTTTCTTCTTATTTGCCCTCTATAGTTCTCTCTCAACTGCTGAATGCTTCCTTGCTGCTAAGAAATTTCATGTGACCGTATTATACTGAGAAACTGTTTGGAAAGTTACAGCCTGGATTTGAGAATTAAATAACTTTAGTTTATGTGTTTATCATGTAGTCTAAAATGCAAACTGATGCATTGTTGAATAATTTGTTATAAATATTTAAAAAAGTACAATTATACTCAAAGTTAAACTTAAAATTTATCTAAAAAACAAGATAACTGTTTTCTTGTTGGATCCATTAAATATTGACAATGTTTAAGTCGGTATTCTTGCGTAAACCGGATTTGCATCTGTCGACATTCACCTACGTCGCTCAAAACCTGCAACAATACACTCAGTGATTTGGAGATCAGGCCTGTTAGGTGATTTTGTATTCTTGGCCTCATTCACGTGGTTCTTCACTGCTCCAGATTACAGTTCCTAATCCCGAACACTCGCCAAAATGCGTGTTTTTACTCACACTCCTCCATTAGGACAACAGAATGCAATGAGAACATATGTTGTAGCCCAGATCAACAAAAAGAATTGGATTGCTAATTATGAGCTACTTGATCCCTGAAGGATTTCAGAGGATTTTTAAGGGGATCTTGTGTTTGTAAGAAGAAATTTGGATCTTTTGACTACCTAAAACCTGGGATATTATCTGCATCTGCTCAACCTGAACAAGTTTTTGATCTTTTTTGGACTTTCTCAGAGATCTGAAGCTCAGAAACGCAACAAATACAATCGAGAATCAAAGAATAAATCTACTCACTTCAAATCTACTCAACATTTGGTTCATGAGCCACAGCAGCACCTGGTAAACCTAAACCAGTTTTTGGACTTTCCTTAACATCTGAAGCTCAGAAACGCAACCAAAAAGAACAAGTCCACTTACTTCAGATAAACTCTTGGTTTGTATAAGCCATAGCAAGATGTCTGACACATTTGATGTCCCACGCATGCGCTCTGACAGTATGTCCACCATGACGTCTCAGTCTACTTCAGCACGGTTCATACTTCGTCAGAGACTCGCTCAGTTGCTGACCTGTTTGGAGGATCTCAGCTCAGACGATGAGGCCAATGAGGAAGTGTCCCGAACGCTGGATGAAGCCTTTAACCTCTGTGGAAGATACAGCAACAGAGAGTCCTTCAGGTGTCCTGAGTCAATAGCTTTGATAATTTGTTTCTAAAAATGAGCTTTAAGTTGACTTGTGCTGTTTTTTGTCGTTTGTTGGTGGTTAATTGCCTTGTTTTCATTAATGTGTATTTGCTTTCTTTCAGATATGTAATTTTGATTAGTAAATGCATCCATTATTTATTGGTGATACGCTTGTGTCTTGTTCTCTGGTGCAGATTGCACATGGTCACATGGAATGTTGGCACAGCAGAGCCACCAGCTGATGTGAGGTCATTACTGCAGCTCGACTCACAGCCGACCACTGACCTCTATGTGATTGGGTGAGCTACTGAATCCCAAAATCAGTGTTTTTTTGCACTGATTGAAGGGATAATTCACCCAAAAATAAAAATTCAGAAATCAATTATACCTACCCTCTACTTTAGGGCTGAACAATCATTTGGGCATTGATATTGAAATGTGTGAATCTGCAATAGTCACATCGCAGGATTAGATTATTTATTAAGGTATTATTAAAGTATTAATTAATATTCAATATTATAATTATTAATTTTACAAAGATGACCATGATATTTTACATTTGACTGTAAAATTGTTGTACTTGAATATGATTAGACTCCAAAAACATAAAGGACTGTTTATTTATTTATTTTTGCTTGTAATTTATTATAATTTATGCAGATGAACTGCATAGGAAAAAGTCTTGATCATCCTAGTCGATCTAAATTGATGAAATGTTTTCCAAATAGAGTTAATTATATTCATATTGCATTTTACATATCACAGCAAAACAAAATATCACAATGTCCATTTTTTTCAGTATTTTACAGGCCTACTCATCACAAATCTTTTTGTTTTTATACTTCTGTCAAAAATAAAAGTTGATAATTTGAAGAACGTTGGAAACCAGTAGCCATTGAACATTTTACAAAACATCTTTTTGTGTGTTCAGCTGAAAAAGAAACTCATAAAGGTTTGGAACCACTTGAGGATGAGTAGATAATGATTACATTTTTATTTTTGGGTGAACCATCCTCTTTTAAAGATTAAATATCCAATTGGTAAGCAGGAAATTAAATGACAACTAATAAACAGTTGAACTCGTTTATAGTTCTGTAGTATTTCAGGAGTGGTAAAATGTTAAAAAGAGAAGTAGATTTATTTTATTTAATTATTTTTACAAAAATTTGTCTGGAAGAAATGTATTGCATCTGTGCAGCTTCTCTCTACTAATAGTCAACTAAAGTGAGGAGTTTAATTAAAATCAAATGTTACCAAGGGTGAAGTAATACAAAACATGCATAATTTTATTACATAGAAAATCTAATTAATTTGATAAAATATTAATTGTGATAAGTTAAAATAGCAATGGAAAATATGTTCCCAGGTTGATTTAAATTAACAGTGCAAGAAGTGCATGTGAGCTGACCAAAAAAAAAATCACTCTTAAGCAGCTTCAAAAAATGAAGTGGATTTTTAGGTTAAACCAACTTAAAAATATGGAGTCACACCCAAAATTATTCATACCCCTGGCAAATTCTAAATTAAAGTTACTTGTATTCAACCAGCATTTCTTCACCGAAAATGACACATGCAGGCTCACCCAAAGCATAAGACAAGAGCATAAGACAATTTACAAGAGGCATCATTGTGGAAAAAAAAAAAAAAAAAACAGTAGTCGCCAACATTTAAAATAAAACAAAAATGCTTTTCAAAATTGTCCTAGGACAATAATGGGTACTGTTCAATAGTTTCAGAACATGATATGATAATAGGTGATGATCCTCCTCAAAATTTGACTACTGTATTTCTCAGCTTTCATTTACATTTGAATAAAAACTGTAAATCAGAATTTTCCAGGGGTATGAATGATCTGCCATGTGTAAATCATGTTGTAAATTGCCACAAATTTACATTATGACCTGAGCAAATGTGTCCCAGTCTACAGGAAGTGAATGCTACTCCAGTTCGATACATCTCTGATCTCATTGTTGAGGACACATGGAGTCACCTCCTCATGGAAACTCTGGCCCCGGAGGGATACATCAAGGTACATTAAAACTCTAACATCACAAACTCATTTAAAGTGTGTGAAAGACAGAGTGTCCTTACATATGTTCATATGCGGTCACAATAGAGCAGAGAGACTGAATCAGGATGAGCCGTCTCCTCATTAAGCTTGTTAAGCTCCATTGTTCTCTGCAAGCCATTGGAAACACTAGAGGCATTGTTTCACACCAGCACATTTGTGTAACGTAACCACAGATTTGATGTGAACCCGCCCCCTTTCTGCCTTTCACAACTAATTAGCTCTGATTTAAAAAACCTCAATTCCACTCCACTAAAAACATCTCAGGAATTTCCAGCACTAATCTCCTTATTTTCTTTCCACAGTGTATCAAGGACACATCCATTCTAAGCTGAAATATGTGTTTCCTCTTTCCCTTATGTCACTAGCTACAGTTCTGTTATCTTGTTTTAATGTGCATTTTGAAGCATCACATCCGAAATCAGTCATATATATATATATATATATATATATATATATATATATAAGAATTGATTTAAAGATTCTTTATTTAAAGTTACTGTTTAAGATTTGTTTGAAAAATATTAAATGGGCAAGCCTTTGCAGAATAAAATTTGACATAATGTAGAGAACATTAAACAATTAGTGTTGTCGTGGTTACTGGTTTTAATATAAACCATGGTAAATTTCCATTATCATTTAAAATTTTCATTATATTGAAAACCTAGATTGATTATTTTTATGTTTAAACACAGTGAATTCTATAACATTGTGATTAGCTATTTGCTAAAGTCTGCAAAGTAAATGCATGTTTATATAGACAGCTAATAAATACATATTTCTATATAACGTTAAAGTATGCCACGTTCCTTTCATTTTAAGTGTGTGCTGCACTTTTGAAATAATTGCAAATCAAATAACAGTATCAGTCACAAAAATCACAATTAGATGTTTTCATTTTAAAAATTTGCAAATATAAAAACATGGATCCCTGTGAGGTAGTTTTCCAAGTGTAGGTTTTAACAAACAATTCCTCAACTAAGGAAATCAAATCAAGTCTACAGAACAAACCATCGTTATACAATAACTTGCCCAATTACCCTAACCCGCCTAGTTAACCTAATTAACCTAGTTAAGCCTTTAAATGTACCTTTAAACTGTAAAGTAGAAGTGTCTTGAAAAATATCTAGTCAAATATAAATTACTGTCATCATGGCAAAGATAAAATAAATCAGTTATTAGAGATGAGTTATTAAAACTATTATGTTTAGAAATGTGTTGATAAAATCTCTCTGTTAAACAGAAATCAGGGAAAAAATAAACAGGGGAGCTAAAGATTGGGAGGGGGGGGCTAATAATTCTGACTTTAACTATACATAGATAGATAGATAGATAGATAGATCGATAGATAGATAGATAGATAGATAGATAGATAGATAGATAGATAGATAGATAGATAGATAGATAGATAGATAGATAGATAGATAGATAGATAGATAGATAGATAGATATTTATATAAGTGTATATAACATTTTCTGCTATTTTTTTCAAAACTGTAATAATTTTGGTCACTATAATGAAAAAAAAACCAATATGACTAATCGGCTGTTTCCGCTCAAGTAAAATACTCAATATAAAATCAAATGGTTATGCACCTAATTTGCATTTCTTTGCAAACTTGGACATGATATGCTTCATGTTAGTATGGAAACCAAGCCACTGTTTATTTTGAGACCGACACATGTCTTTCTTGGCCGTAGAAACATCCTAATATCCACTCTCTGTGATACTGTCAGGTATGATATGGATTAAGCTCATATGACAAAATACTTAACATTTTAATGCTGTCCTCAGGTGACTTCTGTGAGGATGCAGGGTTTATTGCTGATATTGTTTGCCAAGCAGGTCCACCTGCCTTTCATCAGAGACATCCAAAGTACATACACACGTACAGGCCTGTTTGGATACTGGGTATGGCAAAGCCTTTAGATCCTGACATTCCACTGGCAATTTGTTTTATATAATAAATTCATATTGATTCCATTACTTTTTAAAAAAAAGATTTGTGTTAAAGTTTGGGGACTGTAAGATTAATCTTTCTTTATATTGTCATTTTTGTTGTATCTTATGCATTATAAGGCCACATTTAATTTACACGCACAAAATAAATAAAAAATATATTATTTTAATTAAAAAATGAAATCTCTTTGAATTAAATTCTCTCTTAATGTTGTAACCTATCTTAATATATTTAAAAATGGTATTTATTGTTATTATTAAGCAGATTTCTTTTACATCTATTACTTTAGTCTTGACTATAAAACTTTGAACTTTAGTGTTTCTATGTATGTTTTAAATAAATATACATTTACTGTAGTAATAAATAGGTGGACTAATATAGGCCAAATTATTCTTGCAGGGAAATAAAGGGGGAATTTCAGTGCGATTCTCCTTTTATGGTGAAATGCTGTGTTTTCTAAACTGTCATCTGGCGGCTCATATGAATTATGCACTGCAACGGATGGATGAGTTTGAATACATACTGGACACGCAGGAATTTGACATGTTCAACACACCACAAGTACTTGACCACAAGTCAGTGCTAACTTATAATACAGATGGCCATATATAAGCATCCTCTCATGTATGGTGATATGGTGCTCACATTGATGTTTTGTCTCACAGGGTGGTCTTCTGGTTTGGGGATCTGAACTTTCGTATCGCAGACCATGGGATGCACTTTCTCCGTTCTTCAATCAACAACAGCCGCTTTAACCTGCTTTGGGACAGAGATCAGGTCAAACAAATACACACACTTCTGAAAACTAAACCTATTCTTCTATACATACATTTTTATGCAAATATACATGCTTAGCATATATGAGTAGACCTCTCACAAATCGATCTTTTAAATGACTATTTTTTAAAAGATGCTTTACAAAATTTTGTGCATATACATCAGATGGTCAGTACTGAAACCAAATCCAGAGCTAATCTAACTATTACTTAAGATCTAAATCCAACCATGAATACACCCAAATTTATATGCTAGGAAAGAATGTAAATTAAATAAAACAATTTTAAAAAAATCAAGAGAAACTAAAATATATAACATTTACTTGAAATTTAGTAGTTTGTAAATTTGTTTTTACTAATGTTTGCTTGAATTTAAACATATTATATTATATTATATTATATTATATTATATTATATTATATTATATTATATTATATTATATTATATTATATTATATCTGTAAAGATGTTTTGTGATTAAAATATTATTTTAATAAATATATATGTTCAATAAATCTCTTTTGTTTAAAAGGACCAAAATATATTACCTTTATTGACAGAGAAATGGATACAAATATTGATTTTCTAAATGGGGTGTTCTCATTTATGCTAAGCACTGTAAAAATCGTGCAATGAGCATATAAAAGTTTGGTAAAATTATATATATTTAGATTTTCATTAGAAGACACAAAAATAAAATACAATGGAAATATATTCATCAAATGAATTCCTTAATACATAAATAAAAGCTCTTGTGAGTTTTCCCTAGCAGATCAATCTCACTGTACAACATCTAAAATGTAGTTTGTTTTTTCTGAAATGCCTGAACCAAATGATTTTGTTAAATGACCTCCATCAGGCATTCAACTCTTAAAGCAAGACCATATGACAGCATTTATTATTGCATACGTCGTTTCATTTATTATATAGTGAAAAAGAGCTAGAGTGGTTTTCCTTGTTAGCAGGGACTTAAATATTTATCATTTGCACCAGTTTCCATGAAGTGACAATTTGGTTCTCTCGAAAGCATGAGATGAAAAAAATTTATTCGCAAATAATTTGCGCAATATTACAATTATTTTTATACATTCCATTCGCAACTGGATGGAAAATATCTATTTTAAAGCCCACTACCTAGTTACACATCATGATTTTGCCTAGTACAATGCGATCCTGGATTAACATCTACAGTTGAAGTCAGAATTATTAGGCCCCCTTTGATTTTTTTTTCTGTTTTAAATATTTCCCAAATTATGTTTCACAGAGCAAGGAAATTTTCACAATATGTCTGATAATATGTTTTCCTCTGGAGAAAGTCTTATTTGTTTTATTTCAGCTAGAATAAAAGTAGTTCTTATTTAAAAAAAAAAACATTTTAAGGTTAAAATGATTAGTCCTTTTAAGACATATATATATTTTCCGATAGTCTACAGAAAAAACCATCATCATACAATGACTTGCCTAATTACCCTAACCTGCCTAGTTAACCTAATTAACCTAGTTAAACCTTTAAATTTCACTTTAAGCGGTATTGAAAATATCTAGTAAAATATTATTTACCGTCACCATGGCGAAGATAAAATAAATCAGTGATTAGAAATGAGTTATTAAAACTATTGTTTAGAAATGTGTTGATAAAATCTCTCTGTTAAACAGAAATCAGGGAAAAAATAAACAGGGGGGCTAATAAATTGGTAATAATTCTGACTTCAACTATATAAAAAAAAATTATATATATATATATATATATATATATATATATATATATATATATATATATATATATATATATATATATTCTCCGTTAAACAGAAATTGGGGAAAAAAGTAAAAAGGGGGGCTAATAATTCTGACTTTAACTGTATGTTGATCCCTGAACATCATTTTTGTTTGAAAATGTAATCCATACCTACTCTATACCCCTAAAACCCCAAAATCAGTGAGGAATAATAGTTGGATAACAACCATATAGAAGTGCATAAACCTAACCGTAAGCCTAAACTTAACATAACATAAATGGTAAACATATGCCTTTATTCTGATTGGCTGATTGGAATGTTGTTCCAGTATCAGCATAGATGTTAATCCAAAAACATGTCTGTCTTGGTGAAATCAGGTTGGCATACCAAGACAGCATTTTTTAAGTGCTTAAACATATGTGCATGTTATTGTTTTTACATTTCACTGTGCTTTTTTCCATTGATATTATGTACAGTAAATGTCCTACAGTTAAACATTTGCATCAACAATCCCAGAACCCAAAGATTTAGATTTAGAGAAGTCAGTGCAAATGCTGATTATATATATTTTTAATTCATAAAATGCACAGAAGAGAGGTGTATATGCTAGCATTACATCATTATCTTTCAAACATGCAAATTTCACATTTTCTTGAAAACAAAGCAAGTACTGAAAACTTGTCCTGTTGATCATTTTCATTTCTTGCACTTAGTTGTCCATGTTGAAGAAGAAAGAACCTATTCTTCAAGAGTTTGAAGAGGGACCACTGCGCTTTAAACCCACATATAAGTTTGACCGTTTCTCTGAGACATACGATACAAGGTACAGTACATTTACACATGAACAAAACACACCAACAACACCCTTTCTTAATGCATTAAAGTAGAAATGATCTCAGATCTCTATTTACTGAAAGTCTAACATGTTTTCTTGGAAGAAATTTATAGTCATTTTTTCCCCCTACAGAGCACCCAGGACATGGTTTGGCCTTACGTAAGATTTAATAAGTAAAAAAAAAAATTAGTTGCATGTCTACTTAACCACTGCTAGCCATAATTCATCTCACAAAGCACCATCACACCCTCATAAAACACTGCACTGTCACTAAACTAAACTCTGCTCTCAGATTTCTCAGTAAGCATTTCAGTCCTGTCTATACAAATGAAACGTGGTGTTTTTCTTTCTGCTCGCCAGCTGCTGTCAGAAAACATACGTATGCTGTATGTCTACTTTGAAGACTTTTGTTGTTAGAAGGGAATTTTATTTCCCATCAAACATAAATGGCTGAATATAGGAGGTCTTCCGCACCACAGAGCAATTGAACAGACCTGTCCATGTACAAAAGTGCTTTTTCAGCAGATCTTTCCCTCATTTAGCTGTCATCTATTTGCTGAATTGCTATACGTTTGGGAAATAGTGTTTTGTTGTAGCTATAATGGAAGTAGAGGTAGTTTGTATCTCCATCAGGAAAAAAAACTTCAACAGTTTTGGACATTACTAGTCATGCTCAAAGAAGTTTAACAGAGGTTTTCTGAGAAATTAAAAAAGTAAATCATATACAGGATACACTAACCCTTACATGCTCAGACTCATCACGTTTAACACATGACCACATTTTCATGTAAGTGTGTCACTGGGCTTCTGAAAGCTGTCATTAGCAAACTGTTTTGTAAATTACATGTCACTAAGCGCCTCTTCACTGTGTGTATGCATGTTTCACTCTGATATGCTGGTGTTTGATGCTTTTTGTTTCATTATGTAGCAATATATAAAGCATATCAGTCACCTGTCAGCATGTTTGTGCATAGAAATAGGAACATTTCTTGAAAATGTTCAGTTTTCTCGATTTATGATTTACAGTTATGCATAGTGCAGCACAATATACAAAACAATAAGTTACTGTATATTAAAATATTGTTATAGTAATAATTGTAAATAATGTCCATATAGCAGAGAAGTGCAATACATTCAGTTTAAACTGTGCACCAAACTTTTGTGTGTTGGATGCATTGATTGTTTATACAGATTTGACCAATCAGATATTGCTATATTTATACCTGTCTCCCTTGGTAGGTGCTGTTCTGCTGTTGGTTAGAGTGACTCAAAGATGAACCTCAGAGCAGAGAACTGAAAATAAATACTTATGACAAGAATTGAGTCTTGAGACAAGTGAGAAAAATTACAACAGCCAATAAGAATCAGAATATCTGCTTTTACTCAGTGTTTTAAATACTTTTTTATTTGTATTTTTTTAGCTTAAATTGGGTTTAATTAGATCAGAAAAATATTTATAATCTGTTTATTTTAGTCATTAGGTAAATTAAAGACAAACCATTGCTAATAAAAATAGTGTTATTCTAGGAAATCGTAAAAACACAAGAAATTGTGAAATCACAATCCTTAACATTAATATCACATTATTTTTTAGCATCAAAGTTATTTATTATATTTTAATATTTGCTCTTAAGGGCAATATTTTTATTAAAATATGGAATGTATCAGAGCTTTTATAGAATAAATCAAATATTAAAACATTACTCAACAAAAAAAAAAAACTAATAAATATAGTCTAATTAATCCATTAAACCAAAAGAACCTGAGCATTTTCAAGTGGTTTCTTCAAAATTTTGCCTGCATTATGATTTTATTAAATGTTCCTGAAAATGTATAATGTTCCTTATATTCAACCATAGATATTTACATTAGATGTCGCCCATGCCAGTGGTTCTCAACAGGGAGGTCCCGGCCCACAAGGGGGCCTCAGCGAGCTCTGTAGGGGGTCACATCATATTTAAAAAAAATAAATAAATTAGCAGTGGACAATTAGGAGAACAATCATGTTGTCTTAATTCATTTCATCCCCTGGCTGGCAAAACAAATTGACAGATTTGTAATTCGTCCTCCACAAAAAAAAAAAAAAAAAAAAATGATTCAGCAGCTAATTGTATTGACCCAAGCATACTGGACCCAGGTGAGGAAGCTACAAACATTTTAGGTCGCAGCGCTAGCAATACTGAAAACATGAAATGCAGTAAATACCAAGATTAGATACCAGACCCAGAATCCCTGACCCAGCTACAGTGCATTATCTGCTCCAAAGTTCTTGCTAACAAATGCATGAGGCTGTCCAAATTACTGACGAGCCCAGAGCAGTTTTTGACTGCAAGGCACCAAAGGCTTACGTTATTTATTTACATATGGCCTACTGATGTTTTGCTTTTATATTTTACATTAGGCTTTTATTTGTGCATAAACATATCTTGATATATAAACATACCCTTTGTTTGAAAACTAAATTTTTTGTCATCCTTTACTGCAAACTTATATGAGCAATAATATCATTAAATGTGGAGGGGGCCTTATAATATTTTCCATGGGGAAAAGGGGGTCTCAGGCAAAAAAAGGTTGGGAACCACTGGCCTTGGCTGATGTTGCCTTTAGTACAGGGTAGCACTCCTTTGAAATGAATGTGGGACCACTGTTTAGTGAAGGATTGGCCATCTGGAGCCATAGATATGTAAACCTATATACATATCTATGATCAGGAGTTTTTCCGGTGGTCAGTATGCAAATATTTTTTTAAATGATGAAAATTCTAATTTTACATTGATTTGTTTTTATATCGATGGATAAGTAACTGTATGGGCATTCCCGACAAAGAGCATGTGTTTGTATGCATGGAAATGTATTATCCTCACTCCCTGTTAAAGGTGATCTAATAATTATTCAGAAACATACCCCCTCCCCTGCTTTCACTTCTAATTCTAACAAAGGGAGTGATTTTTTTGTGAATGAATCTCCATTATGAATGACTCGTGTAAACCATTGATATCCCTGTGATTTAAATGGTATATAACATTTGTAATATTCAATAAGTATACAGTATGCACATTTAGGCGCAGACACTGTTATGTTATCAGGCACCCTTATAAGTTACTTCAAAATCTAGCTGTTACTTCACTTAGCCTACAATAATATAAGTTTCTGGCACCGCAGCATGTTGTTGTAATATTTCATTTACATTGTTTACTGATTTTATACAACCAAACTAGCATAGGCCTAGAATTTAGTGCAGGTTGGTGCTACTTTGCCTTATGGTGAATGCAGTAAGTGACAGTATTGTCATCAATAACGTTACTTGTTTAGCACAAAAGTTCAAAACCAAACTAAATCTTACCTATGACATATTCTGCCTTTCTGCTTTGTTTTCTTTGTTTGCTCGTTACTACACCTGTATATAACGCAAAAGTCCAGCATATTTACTGTAGATTGGCTTTAGTCTTAACTAGTGCGGTTGAATGACTTTAGTCCTGGGAGCACTGTACAAAAGTGACAACACTATTGACACATGCTCAGGGTCAGTATGCAATATCTTGTAAATATCTATAATATTTACCAAAGCTAAAAAACAATAATAATGATTTACATATTACCACAATTTAAAATAAAATTTAGATGTTTTCCAGTGACGGTACAGGTCAAGACGCATGACCTTTCAAGAATGATAAAAAAATAAAATAAAATAAAATAATAATAATAATAATAATAATAATATATATATATATATATATATATATATATATATATATATATATATATATATATATATATATATATATATATGCTTCTCAATAATCTTTTAAAAACATTTGCTATTTTCATCAATGCTCAAACTGTTTTCCTACTTTATATGTAAAACGTAATCAATTGTTTCACTATTTGGATCATAATGCAGTCAAACTTTTGATCGACAGTGTGTATGTGTACTGTCAATCGTTAAATATTTATATTGTTTTTTTACATTCTGTTTCTTTTTCTGCATGATTTGATAATTAGCGGCAAAAAGCGAAAGCCAGCCTGGACTGATCGTATCTTGTGGAGAATAAAACCCAAAGCCACAGAGATTGAGGATGAGAAGAGTTCGACCGCATCCTCAGCTGACGATGATGAGTTTTCTGTGAAGGTGACGCAGGACATGTACACCTGCGATGTCTCATATGGGGTCAGTGACCACAAACCCGTCATTGGGACCTTCAATCTGGAGGTATGAATTATGCACGCCATGAATATTTAATCAGGCAGATGATAACGAGCTTCGGGATTAATCAAATTGAAGCAATCTGTCTAAAATTATAGTCATTAATAATAATACATATCTACCTTTTTCTGTAAGTCCAAATTCATCTTGATCTCTTCGTGCAGATGAGGAAAAAGGTGGAGACGCCTCTAGTCGCACTAACCGTAGAGGGAATCTGGAGCGCAGATGAAGATGCCATATTCACTTACACCATTCTGGAAAACTTTGAGTCCTCAACCTTTGACTGGATTGGACTATACAAGGTGAGAGGGAGAGAGAGAAAAAGAGGTTGATGGATGAACAAAAACACAGAATGAGACAAAAAGGAGATCTGTATCACAAAGCAGGTCACTAACTAGAGGTGATTTATATCTCTGCGTTCAGATTGGCTTCAAAAGTGCCTCCGATTACTCCACCTTCGCCTGGGTCAAAGATGATGAAGTGGCTGCCAATGGCGAAGTTGTGATGGTATGGTAGAGTAGACTACAAGTTTTAGTGTTGAGAACAGCTTTGCATTAATAAACGTAGCTGATGACTGTAGGTTCAAAAATAATCACTGTTGATTTTAATTTTTGGGTCACACTTGAAATGTGAATTTTTAAACCACTGTGTGCATGAAAATTGCAAGATGGACTAATAAATGCACTAACATGGGTGATGCGTTTCCTTTTTAAGGTCCAGATGAATAAAAATGAGCTCCCTCTGCTGGCAGGGGATTATGTGCTAGGATATTTTAGCACCAACATGCAAACCCTCATCGCCTTTAGTCCAAATTTCCAGGTGAGTTTCTGGAAAGATACAGTACGCTTCTGTGTTAATCCCTGGCTATATTACTTTACTAATCTGCTTGATGTCTGGCTTCAGATTCTAGAGTCGAAGCGAGCTGTAATGGAGGGTCTGGTTCAAGAGAACATCAACGGACTTGAGAAATAACTGGAATGTCTTTAAATCTTTGTTTTATGAATTCACAAATGGGGCAGAATCTGATCTGGAATCAGCTTTTCCTCTGTGTAAATGGACTCTGCTTTGTTTGGTTTTAAAAGGTACAACTAATTCTGAAGCAAATTTGTTAAAGTTAAATCTGATTTAACGATGGTTTAAAATCAAAGGCTTTAATTTATTTCCACTGAAAATGCTGCTCTTTCCTCCCCCACTTTATCCTTGGCTCTTTTGACATAGTTTTTAAATACAGTACGTTTTAAAGCTCTTGTAAACAAAGACACATTGTATAGACCGGGCTGTTTAAATAGAGTTTGTAGCACATTTTATGCTAAACAATTGACTAAAAAGACTGTAGAATTTATAAAAACTCAGAATTGCAAATATATTTTATGCAAAAGTTAGCACATAAAGATTCTAAAAATTACATTTAGGCCTGTGCATTTATTAACATTATGGTATTGTACTGTAAATGCATATGAAGACATTCATGTTGCTTATTTATATCTTAAACTGATTTAAGTATTTTACACTAGTTTTACTGTACATTGCTTATATGTGTAGTTAGAGATGCTCCGATCGATCAGCCGGAGATTGGTATCGGCTGATAATCACATTTAATGACTTGATTGGTACTCACTATTCTGGCAATCTCAAGAACCGATCTTATGAACCGATCACAAGTAATTGTGTTAGTTGGAAATGTGCAAAGTATTTGAATGACCTTGCACGTATTTAGGCATACAGTTGAAGTCAGATGTATTAGCCCCCCTTTGATTTTTTTTTCTTTCTTAAATATTTGCTTAATGATGTTTAACAGAGCAAGAGAATTTTCACAGTATGTCTGATCATATTTCTGTCTTCTTCAGAAAGTCTTGTTTGTTTTATTTCAGCTAGAATAAAAGCTGTTTTTAATTTTTTTAAACACCATTTTAAGTAAATTACCATTTTACAAAATTATTAGCCCCTTCTCTCTTCTCTGTTAAACCGAAATTGGGAAAAAAAATTAAACGGGGGAGTAAATAATTCAGGGGGGCTAATAATTCTGACTCCAACTGTATAAGAACTGAAAGTTCACTAAAACCAGGAAATATTAGATAAATTAAAAACCTCAAAAATTATATAAATATTTTTAACATATATTTAAATAATATATTTATATTTAATAATATAACCTTGTAGTGTACTTCGTTCATTCATTCATTTTCTTGTTGGCTTAGTTCCTTTATTAATCTGGGGTCACCACAGCGAAATAAACTGCCAACTTATCCAGCAAGTTTTTACGCAGTGGAAGCCCTTCCAGCCGCAACCCATCCCTGGGGAACGAACACACACACACACACACACACACACACACACACACACACACACACACACACACACACACACACACACAACGGACAGTTTAGACCTCCCAATTCAACTGTACCGCATGTCTTTAGACTGTGGGGGAGCACCCGGAGGAAACCCACCCAAACGCAGGGAGGTACTTGGTATCGGCTAAAAAAAAATCCTGATCAGAGCATCCTTATGTACTTTATACAGTATTTCACATTAAGTCTTAAATAACAGTGCCTCTTTTTATATGTTCGCATCTGTCTTTTCATTTCATATAGGAACAACTCCTTGTCTTGCTGTTAATATGCCATTATGTTTGCACTGTTAGGACTGTTGTGAGTGCTACATTTTGTCTGTAGCTATGTGTCTTTTATGTGAGCAAAATATACACTTCTATTTGAGAACTGACCGACCTGACTTTTTCTTTAAATATATAATTTATCCTCCATCTTAGTTCCTGGTAAATCTCTAAGTCTATTCATTTTAAGTGCATGTATTGAATTGACCCTATATGCTGTTTAAATGCATTCAAATGTTTTCCTAATTAAGCTGCTGAAAACCCCCATCATATATGTATTGTGCACAATTTCATTAAAATACGAAAGTCTGAATATCTGTTTGCCTCGCAGAAGAGGTTTGTACATGAATATCTGTGTTCAAACTTTTATTTTCACCTACACTCTGAGGAATAATATTATGATGTAATTGTAATTAACGTGGAATATATTGCTTTAAGGTCTACCACACACACATGTGAGTGTTAATTACATCGCTGACATTAGTAGTGTGGCATGAAGCGTGATTTCAATGTCAGCTAACAAAATCCAATCTCCAGAGAGAAGACCAAACAAACACCATCGGTGTTATTTTCCAGTAGACATGTTAAGTTCACACATTTTTTGAAAGTCACTCTAGGGGGCACTGTTCACTCGCTGGATTTATGAAAGTCAAGCATACACAAAGTGGTCAAATGGTGACTCACAGAATATTACAACATATATACATACGGTTTTCAGAAGTGCATATTTAGTATTTTACCTCCAGGAGTTTTTTTTCATGGATAATTACAGCTTTAAACGCTTCTGAGAAACATGGGGAGGTCTTTGAAGAGGAGGTCGTCATTCTGTCACTGAGAGAACAAAGAAGCCGCCAAAACAGACTGTAAGTTAGTGATCATGAGCTAGAGTAGACAACAGCGCTGAAACAATTGTTTCTAAACAGTAAATCTACAACTGGGATACTACCCCAAAACATCAACAGGTTCCTTTTTTAATTGCAGATAATTAGACAATATAGGTTAATATGTTACGTACAGTTTATTTACCTCATTTTCATTGAATCTGTTGATTCCCCGACCTCTAGCAGGTGCTAGCAATGCAGTCCTGATTGAACCAGCGTTGTGAATGAATCAACTGACCTAACGATTCAATCAGTGATAAAGAGTAGGTTTCATGTCTAAAAAGGTATTACTTTTAGAACAACCAACCAAAGAAAAAGATTTAGAGAGATTGATGTTGTTGGAGAGATGTCACAATTGCCATCATTCACACATGCAGTATAGTATTCAATTACTTTAACTTTTCTCCAGTAAGAGGATAGCAAAGTGTCCATCTTATGCTCACTTCAGAATCTTGAGGTTATTTGTGTACTTTTTTGCACAATTGTTATAATAAAGACAAATGTCGCATCCAAAATCAGTTACACATTTATTAATCTTAATTTAGTGTGTGCCGCATTAGCAAGGTGTAAAAAAAAAACATAAAAGCAAGACAAAACGAATATCTTTGGCTTCTGACGATACATTGAAGCTTTAAAAAGACACTGAACATTTAAAATGTGGTTACCTATAATATAGTCTACAGGCAAATTGTGCTAAAATCTTCACTATAAAGTATGGAAATGGAATTAATGGAGTCGTGAATGATCAAAGTAACCATAACATTCATTAAAATAATCACTTGTGTTTTACACACACTGTTTTTTATAGGAATTTGAGAAAGTCACTAAGACGCTGATGCACAAAACATTTCATTATGGTCACCTCTATCACCTCCACACAACTGATTGTAATGCAGTCACACGTTTTTTTTCCCCCAAAATATTTTTTTTCACATTTGACACGTCAGGATGCTGTTTGTGGAGCCAATATACTCCACTATAAGGACAGGAATGTCTTTAATATTGATATACTGTCTTATTAGCGTTTAAAAGCTTGGATCTAGAGAGCTCTGGCAAAATTAAAGTGCTGCCACAGATTACACCGAGGCAATTTAATTAAATGCATTAAGAGGGGGGAAAAAGTGTTAATTAGAGTAATTAGGTGGGAATTTCGTCTTCACTTGTGTCAGAGCTTATGCTGAAACCTCACACCCAAGGGACACTTCCAAGGGAATTCTTCTTCCTTGGAGAGATTTTTACTAGAGAGGCCCTGGAGATCCATATTTTCTAACACATCCGACTGGCCCATGATGTCACCCGGTGCTGTAAAACTTTTTAATGGCGCACTAAATCAGAATCGCGGATTGGAGGCATTTGAGGCTAAATGAAGACAGGGTAAGGTTATGAGGAGAAAGAGGGAAAGCGGGATGAATAGAGACATGGAGAGAGAGAGGGGGGCAAAATGACCTTGCTGATGTCATAACACAAGCAATATCCAATCAGAATGCATCTAGAGTAAATGTTCACAACAACAGCCCATTAAAAGCTCTCTGTGCTTCTGTAATGCATTAACCCCTGAAATTACGACAACCTTCACAAATGATCATTTTCATCACTTATCTAACAAATTATATGTAGATAAAAAATGGAAAGGGGCTTAAAGGGATACTTAAAAAAGGTGAAAATTTGCTGTTAATTTACTTGCCTTTAAGCCATGCAAGATGTTGGTGACTTTTTTTTTCAATAGAACATAAAAAAGCTGAAACAGTAGCCACTGGCGATTGAAAAAATGAATGTCAATGGCTGCCAACATGGAGTCAAAATTCTGCACATATAGTAATTGCTCATTATAGCCTTCTTTGTATGTGATTTACTTGACACACGTTACATTTAGCTTGATCCTCAGTCGTTCTTTGGAAATAAATCCACACTTTTGAATTTCTCTTTTCTATGCTGTCAAAAAATATATAAATCTGATGCGAAGTGTATCGTAAATGAGAAGTGTGTGCCAAATACTGTTTATTGGTTAGTAATATCAATGCAATTGATTTTCATGAGGTGAGACGTTGCTAATAAATTATACACACTCTCAGAATTTCACCTACTCATCACATCAGAGCTTTTAGGGATAGTTCACCCAAAACTGAAAAATGTCATCATTTACTTACTGGTCATTTGTATCAAATTTTATCAATTTAATCAATTATCAATGTTTATGTTTTCTGTTGAACAATATTGATGTTTTTTTTTATGTTGGAAATGTAATCTTACATTTCCAGTGTTTGTTTTTCCTACTATGGAATGGTAGTTACCAGCAGAGTTGGGTGTAACACATTCCTCAGTAACACACTACTGTATTCTAATTATATTTTTGGAGAATGCTGTAATGTAACAAATTACATTTAAAATTTGTGTAATTTGATTATAGTTACGGGCGACGCGGTGGCGCAATAGATAGCGATGTCGCCTCACAGCAAGAAGGTCACTGGTTCGGGCCTCGGCTGGGTCAGTTGGCGTTTCTGTGTGGAGTTTGCATGTACTCTCTGGTTCGCGTGGATTTCCTCCGGGTGCTCCGGTTTTCCCCAAAGTCCAAAGACATGCGGTACAGGTGAATTGGGTCAGCTAAATTGTAGTGTATGAATGTGAATGAGTGTGTATGGATGTTTCCCAAAGATGTGTTTCAGCTGAAAAGGCATCTGCTGCATAAAACATACACTGGATAAGTTAATGGTTCTTTCCGCTGTGGCGGAATAAAGAGACTAAGCCGAAAAGAAAATGAATGATTACGGTTACTAAAGTCAATGTAATTGTGTTACTTATGTTACAAATATAGTTTTTAGAAGAAAACCAGGTCCAATTAAATCACGTTTTCCACTGCAACGTCAGTTAATAAGCATGTTCTTTTAAAATTCCTGGAGAACACGAGCTGAAATGGTTGCTGATGAGACTGGCCCATTTTATTGAACTGAAAAACAAAAATATGGCTGTGAAATACAGTCTATGTCCACTCTCTTAGGAGCATTTGATTGCATTTAACTCGACCAGCAACTTGTTCTTGCACTTGAATAGAAAGCATGACAATACTCATCACCAAGGAGGACATCGGCGCCCAAAAAAAATGATGGTCCAACTCAGCCTAAACAGGCTAAATTAAATTTTTGTGCAGATTTGGGAGTGAAGGTATCTTTTGAATGTGAAGAGAAGTGTAGCTGCTTATGGGGCCGTTCCCATATTGCGTCTTTTGTGTGCGCAAGTTTGTGTTTTCCAATGGAGGCGCACGGCTAGCGCACACATATTCGGAGCGCATATTTTATGCACTCACAGTTTTCAGGTGCACCAGTTGAAAACCATGTCATGCGACATGAACTGACCAATCAGCTTCATGCTTTGTATGGAATATACACATTTCGGTAGACCAATCCCTCAGACAAAGACAGAACATCCAAATATTTTGCATACTATACATGCCATTCGTTACAGGTATCCAGTTTTCTGGAACAGATTTGGAACAAGTGAATGAGATTTTGGGTGAACTCTTTAAGTCTTTTGAATATGTCAAGCTGTTGTGATCAATCCATTTTAATGTTTTTCAGTGAATATTAAATTACTGAAAGAGTACAGTAATTAGTAATATGATTACTTATTATATTTAGTAATTAGTAATGTAATCAGATACAAATTTTTCAGTAGTATTCCAATTTTATAATCCAATTTTTAATCTATTACTATTTATTCAAGGCAAAATTACTTTATTTAAAGTAATTTTAAATAAAGTAATTTTAAATAAAGTAAATAAAATTACTTTATTTAAAGTAATTTATCCAACACTGGTCAACAGTTTATAACATTCTTAAAAATATCTTTGAAATATCTTATTACATTATCAAATACTTTGAATATATTATTCATATATATATATATATATATATATATATATATATATATATATATATATATATATATATATATATATATATATTTGAATACTTATTAAATATATTACTTTGGGTTATATATATATATAAGATTTTTTAAATTCTGGTTCTGGTAATATTAAAAAAAACTACCTGTTGATGAACCCAGACAGGAAAACTGCCCCCTCTGTTTGTGTGAGATGACCTTACTGTTTTACAGTATTCTATTTCAGAGTTCAGAAAAGAGTTCAGAAATCTATACAGTGATATTTTTGGCTGTCGTCAATTTAATGAAATATTGATTCTAACTGCATTCTAAATGGCTTAAGCTAAATCTATATGGAATCTCAATATGTATTTTTCTCATTATTTTATTTTGTTTGCAAAGTTAGTGACATACTTGTTAATGTCAGCTTGCACATCATTAAAACAATTCTGAAATGATAACAGATGATAAATATAGCACACACCTACTAGTTATTTATTACAGTATACCTGAACACATGTATAAACCATGGTAACTCTGCAGTGGAAAAAGGATGTAACCCATTCTCTGTGATGATTTTACTTGTTAAAGTAAATGGAGTAAAAGCCTCTGAAATTCAACGAGGGGATTTGATGCATTGTGAGGTTAACATTTATATTTATTATTGACTCTATATAGTTTATTACAAATGAAATAACCATTTAATTGGTTAGTTCACCCCACAACAAACATTTTGTTTTAATTACTTACCCTCATGTCGTTCAAAGCCCTGTTCACACACAAAAAAATTTTTTTGGTGAAATCCTAGAGCTCTCTCATCCTCAAAAGACAGCAATGGTTCTGAGATGTTCAAAGTTCAGAAAAGGACCTTTATTCCATGCTCCAAAAAATGTTTACTCATATTGCTGGCATGGGCTCCTTTAAAACTTCTCACATTTTACATTTCATCAATATGAGAGGACTATCCCAGCCCATACCATGCACCAGAAATGTGATCTAAATAAACCTTAAAAATTTTATGTACAATTTCAATACTTGGCTGTGGAATAATTGTAATAATACACAGAACAATTATTGTGCTACATATAACCTGTTTTTTTGTGTCAGGAGCAATGTGCATTCATTTTATTTTGACTGAATATGTTTACTGATCCTCAGAGCCCTGATACATGTTGAGTTTGCATTTCATGAATCACAAAGAACCACATCTTTAGCTTTCTTTCTTTCTTTCTTTCTTTCTTTCTTTCTTTCTTTCTTTCTTTCTTTCTTTCTTTCTTTCTTTCTTTCTTTCTTTCTTTTTTTTTTGCTCTATTGAAGAAAAGTCACCTACTTCTTGAGTGAATTAACAGCTAATTTAAAATTTAAACAATTTTGGTTTATGTATCTCTTTAAAGAGATTAGATGATTTTTTTTAACAGAATGAAACATACTGTACTGTAATCATATTTAAAAGCAGGTACCATTATTGTATGTGGAAAAAAAAACGTTTGCTATATTGAATGTTATCTGATGTAGGGTTGCCCAATATTCAGGGATATGATGCAAGATCCATGTCCATTCATGCGCACGGTCTTCAGTGTCTGAAATCAGTGTCCTCATTTGCCAAGATCAGAGCAGTTCTGCAAGGAATGTAGATCTAGAAAGAGAGAAAAAAATTATTCACGCTCATTCATATTTATATATGGGTCAAAAAAGAACCACCCGTTTTGGTGTCCAAATCAAATTTTCACTATCCTTCAGGTTTGTCCCTGGCTTATCAGTAGTCGCCACAACGGAATGAACCTATCCATATCAATTAAATTATTATACTAATTTCTTCTACTTTAATATTTCTAATATTGTGTGGAAATAAATTATAAAAATATGGCTGGAATAATATTACATGTAACAAATATTTATGAAAAAAAATATATACATATTCTGACCTGTATTTTAAAATATATAAAGGAATAATACTGTTTGCTGACATATAAACCTAGTTTGAAAATAATTAAAAAGTACAAATATTTCAATATAATTTACACTTTGAAAGTCAAATTAACAGCAAATGTACAGTTTTGGATGAACTATCCTTTTATTAGAGCCTTTTAATATAACATAAAATTCTTATTTATCTAAATATGTATGAACAGTTTTTCGGAATATAACATTTTGTTCATATCTTCTGTAAATCAAAATAAAACTGCTCAACAGTCATAGTTTTTTTGTTCTCCATGAGTTAACTCCAAGAGTAATCTAAAGTGTGTATTCAAATACTGAAGGTTACAGCTACTCTGATAAACCTGCCATATTAAAAAAACAAAAAGAGAAAGACACAGCTATATTGAGCTTAAAAAGTCAAAACAATATTTCTCTTGGGAGAAAAGCAAGTTATTGCGCTGTTAAAAGGAGCTCTAATCTGCTGAGTGAAAACAATTCTTTATGTAACCTGGGAGCACCTTGCAATACAGTTTTTATTAGTGAAATCACTGTTCTTTGACCTCTCTTCATACGGCAGGACATGAGACTACAGGTCTGGGATCAGTCCGATGGGACCCGAGAAGTGATTGGGTCCGGGTGTCTACATACCGACAAGAAAGACTTGTTTCTCTCAGAGGAGAAAAAAAGGAAAGCGGAGAATATATCTAGCGAAAAGTTCTTATGAATAAAACATAGTGTGTAGGGAGAGGAAACAGTCACTCTTGTAGGTCAGGTTCTGGTTGATTTCCACAGGGAGCAGACGTGCGCGTTATTAACTGGGCCTGCGCTCACCTGCTGGAACTGGACCTGCGCGCCCAGCGTGAGTGCCAGAAACACACTGCCACGACTACAAACAGAAAATCACTGTTTTAACACCACAAGTTTCACTGTGTTCCCACTGAAGCCTCTGGAAATGAGATGTCAGAGTCTGTGTGTGATTCCACAAGAGTGGCTGCTCTGAGTGTATTCTCTGAGTTTTATTGTTTAAGCCATAATAAGGTTGAGTTTGTTGAGGGATTGACAGCACTTGTATGGCATGTCAAGCACAGTTTGTATAATTAAATAATTATATAATAATTTAGTCAATAATAATAAATATGAATAATATTTAAAATAATAATAATTAATAATACTAACAGCTAAGTATATACCGCTACGTATATACAGCTAAGTACTACCAGTCAACAATTTGGGGTCCGTAAGATTTTTAAATGTTTTAAGCAAGCTTATCCTGCTAACCAGTTCTGCATTTATTTGATCAAAAATACAGTACAAACCGTAAAATTATTAAATGTTATTGCACTGTAAAATATCTGTTTAAAGTAGTTTATGATTTAATCTAATAATTTATTCCAGTGATTTTAATGATAATTTTTCAGTTTCATTACTCCAGTCTTCAGAGTCATTTGATCCTTCAAAAATCACTATATAATAATAATAATAATTATTATTATTATTATTAATGGTAATAGTAATAAAAGCAATAATGACTGGAGAAATCACTTCATTTGAAACTAACAATAAGAAAGCAGTTATTTAAAATTGTAAAAAATATTTAATATTTTTTTTTACATTTAATAAATGCATCCTTGATGAACAATAATTTCATTTAAATTATAAAGTAAAATTAATAAAAAAAATAAAAATAACTGACCCCAAACTTTTGACCAGTAGTGTATATCAGCATTGTTCAATTCTGGGTGAATCGAAAGTTGCTGCAGACTTTCATTTCAGTATGATAAAGTATTTAAAACTGGAATGGACTATTGAGTAGGAGCGGGGCTTTTATTTTTGGGCTCCTCCTCTCATCTTTCACTCACAGCAAACTAATGGCTTGAAGGCTGTGGCTAAGCATAACTCACAAGTCATCAAACCGATGTCAACACAGAAGGACTATGTTTAATTAAAAATAAGCCAAACAATTTTTTAAGCAAATTAAGTTCACATTTTCTCATAAAGTTCCCTTTTATAATAATAATAAGCTCCAATAGTAAAATAAACATTGTTTACATTTTGATTTCATGCAGACTTTAAAACAGAAACCATAAAATATTTTTGTTATTTGAAATAAATTCAAGTTTTGCCAAAAGCAAAGTTGGTATCTGTATAGATAAATTATTAATAGTACAATAATAAACAAACATTATAAAAAAATAACTCTAAAAAGCTAGGTTCAGCAAACAAATAACTTCAACAAAATTCATGTTATTATAAGTCAGGCTTAAAACTCAGTTTGATATAACATGCACCACATAATATGGTGTTCTTGCTCCATCTCTCCATCCACTGAGAATAAAGAACTCTTCTTCAGAATAACTTTCACTAAGATCAATAACTATCATTACAACATTATCAGTTACTGTGCTCACTTGGATAGTTAGAAATGTCATGAAAAATCAAGAAATCCCTGTAAATTCTTCACTAACCCCCTGCAGTACTATTACAGACCCCTACGGCTTGAAAACCCAGGATCTATATTACTGTAAAGGCCTGCTGCATCAGATTATATTAAAAGGCATCAAGAATCGTGCATCTCTGTCTTCTGAGATTTACATCAGATTTCATTATGAAACAGACACAGCAGCAACTATTGACTGAAGTCATTGAAGTTAATCTCAGAGCCCAGCCGTGTACATGAACAGTTCTGCTATTGACCACTAGATGTCACTCACGCAGTTTGGTAACAGGAAACTTTTTATTTAATAGAATGGAGGTTTAAAATTGCTCCAGCTTTTCTGATAAACACAAACTCTTATATACTCAGTTTTGACTAAAATCTTCTCTAAGCTTTCCACAAATAGGTAACCACTTCAAAGTTTGTTTTGGGTGTTTCTTAAGGTCATATTATATAAACAATCAGATAGGAGAAAAAAAAAACTGGTGAAATCACTTCATGAGATGCAAGAGGATTTAACTCAAGAACTCTTAGCGGATGTGATGTGGGAAGCAGAAAGAGTAAAAAAAAAAAAAGTTAATATTCTTTTGTTTACATTCAGGTTTGATGTTAGCAGAACGCCTACGGAGACTACAGATCAACTCTAAGAGGAGGACTGAACTGAAGCTCACCTTTGGAAAGCTTGAGATGCGAGACAAGAAAAGAAAGCAATAAAATCTCACATTCTGGCCAGAGTCACGCACAGACCAGCAGGGTTGTCTGCCTTTGAACGAATGTTTTTGTCAGAGCACCGTCTGAGTTACACCGGCGTTAATATCTTGCTCAATTAAAATGCCTGCTGCGATTAGCCGGATCTCTTAAAAGGCACTTTGAGCCAAAACGGTATTAACAGGCTCATTGATTCCTGGCATAACCATCTTTCAGTCGGCTCATCAGCACCGGTAATCATGCAACTCAGGCCATTACAAACTACATGGTCGTCAGTGACCCCTGACCAGCTGGCTAATCCATCACTGACATTTAAAAGAAAAACGCTATCTTCAGGTACAGCGGTCGTGAAGGAAGCAGAACATAAAAGGAGACCTCATGTGACGGACACTACTCCGGCAAAATGAAGATGAAGAGAAGATTTAAGATGATAATATGCACCGCCACTGATCATTCTCACTGTTGAGTATATGGTATGATTTGTTGTTCGTTCAGGAGCAGATTGAGACAGATCTATTCAGCTGCCTTGGTCTGCTTGTTTGGTTCAGATTACAGTGTTCACACTTGATCAAATGCACCGCACTTGTGGAGTAATCGCAGTTAAGTGAGAACACAATCTCAGGTAAACGGTTCCAGAGCAGACCAAGACTCATCTGTCATCTTTTTAGAGTTATTGGTCTTCTTGTTTTGTGTGCACCAGAATTCAGCGTTCACACTTATTCAAATTAACTGCACTAACAGAGCTATTACAGCAAAGTTTACAATCTTAACCAAACCAGTGTGGACACAATGTTCACACTTATTCAAATGAACCAATTAAGCACCAGAGTTGATTTTAATCAAATTAAACCTGCCTTAGCAAACACACTCTCATTTGGATGCCAGAGTTTATCTGGGATTGAACTAAGGGTGCTTTCACATGTGGTTGGGTCATTTTGTGCAGACCAAAGACTAAAAATTATTTTTAAAAATTGATTTGATAAATAATTTCCATCCAAAAGCTGTATTCACACCTGCCAAAATAAACTGCACCATGAGGGAAAACTCTAGTGACACTTAACCAACCCAAACAAGGTCTGAGTGTTCTCTGTCCCCTTGGACCCTACCATACACCTGGCGCAATAAGGTGCAAGATGTGCTTGGCGTGATTTGTTGCTATTTTCGGATCAGCGTACTCTCATTTTCACGTTTTGTGTCACGTTTAAATAGCATATCTATTTGTGGCACTTTGTAGACTTATGGGTGTGCTGGTATACAAAGGAGGTGTGTTAAGGCTCATTGGTATTTTGAGCAACTGAAATAGACCTCGCTATTGACAAACTGAAATCTGGTCCAGCGCAGAGCACATTAGTTATGCTCCTATACGAGTCCAAAACACATACCCATTGCTTAATACACATAGGATGTACAGCAATACACAAACATCTTTACATATAAAAAAACAATTAAAGGATTAAAATGTTACAAAAACAGAACATTACATGACTTTCTACATAAATATAAAAACCACTGCCTCCATGCTTTCTTCAAGCCTCCATGACTTTTTTCAGTTCATTAATGACAATTTGCATTTG